CTCCATCAATGCACATGCATGGACATAGCGAAGCAATCCTCTCTGTCCTTTGTGTGTAGTAATTAAAAAAAGCAATTGTTTCGCTGACTTTGGCATCTGGAATACGCATTGAACTAGGCATGCATGAGTCGAATGGTTATATTGAAACAGTAAACGAGTCGAACAACAAACAAATACAAAAGTCACATAATGTCCCCGTTCGCCTTACTTATCCTGAAGGACAACGGATCTAACACGAGAAGAGAATTAAAACGTTTCACTTGACAATGCGATAAGGAAACGACAAATGTGATTAAGCGATAGTATGCAATTTCCAGCTTTATTACGCCAATATCCTTAGATTGGAACGGTCACCAGTCACGGTCTTTGAACTTTTCAATTACCAATTATCATGACGACCTTAAACTCACTGTAGCTAAACAGACATTGTCGTGACTAATAAAAAACTTTAGTGAAAAAAAAAAAAACAATGCGATTCTTTGCAAAGGTTTTTCAATCGGAAATTGTTCTGTAAAATGTTAATTCATATAACATAAGCAAAAGTCGAGCAAGAAATGATCTATCTATCTCTGCCCGTAAAGTATACATATTAGCTATTGGCGAAAATGACGAATTGTCGACTTTAACAGATAAAAATGATAAAGCAAGGGGAAATACCAGTGGCACCCAATTGTCCCGCTTGTCGAAAGTGACTGAAAAAGCTATCTTTTGGACACTCGTTGCAAGAATTGTCTAGGATGTGGTGTTGCAGCCTGCCACACCCACCGTACTCACCAGACATCGTGCCTCCTGATTACCACTTATTTAGACCGGTGCAGCATGGCTTGGCTGGCAAGCCAAAGTTCCACAAAGTTGAGGAAGTGCGGAAATAGATCGATGGGTGCATCGCTGCCAAACCAATATAAGCTCTTTCGGTGAGACATCGTCATGTTGTTGTACAAAATGATGATTTTGTTTTGATATTTATTGCACAAATTTTTCACAATAAATGGCTTTTCCAACTTTAAAAGTGATCAACATTTTTGCAAACACCTAAGGTATATATCAGTGATCAGTTTCAAACTTAGAATCGATGGAATTATATGCGACTATCCATGTGTTGTGGTGTTCGCCTGCCGATTTGTGCAACATAATCCCGATATCTATACAATCCTTTAAATTCACAAGCTCCGATTTCAGAATCAGACGAATATAACTGTATCTGCTGAACTATTCAGTTAATGGCAGGGATGTAAATGTATTTAAAAACATAAAACAGCTATCGGAAAGGAAACTTCCAAATCCAATATCTTGAAGTAATTCTTAATTATTTAAATTGTTATCCACTCGCCAACTAAATAATAATGATTTTTATCACTTTATAGATATTTCCTTCTAGAAGTTACCACCCACATGCTTAAACACATTTTTATTGTTTAACTATAAAATATAAAAAGAAAACCAATTAAAAAGTTTCCCAAGCAAATGCTAAGCAAACTATGCTACTTCAGCAGCTTTTGACCGTTTCGCTTCATTTTAAGGATTTTAAGTTAAAACAAACATGTGTCTAAGAAATATTAACATGTTTGTGACGAATCTTAGGTACTCATCAATTTTTAGAGTAAGATAAATAAAATTGATTAACTTTTTGTGATTGACTCAAACAAATTTTGTAATAAATTTTATTTCTAATATATGTATGTCTAAGATTTATTATAAATTGATGAGAAAAGTGTTATTTATTTATAAAAATTGTTTGAATTTTTCATTTATTATTATATCGAAGAGTAATGCTGTACAACTTTTCTAAGCAATTTCATTTTTTTTTTTTTTTTTATTCAGTTATAAGTCAGAAACGAACGTTATGTGGAACTCTTTGAAATTTAACCAATAGAATAACGAATTGAAACATCCCTTGTCAAATAGTAGATATGAGAAGAATGAACGAAGGAAGAAGCAATAAAATAAGATAACTATATTTATTTTTATATTCACATAAATTTAGCATTAATATTGCACTTGAATTTTTGATAGTTTTCCTTTTCTCAATAATAGAAACATAAAGTTGAGGTCGCTTCGCATTTGGTTTGAACAAAAGCTAAACGAATATAAGCAAATATTTGTATGGAAGCCACAAGACAATCCTTTGCACTTAACCCAAAACATACTTTCCTTTTGCAATAAAGAGAGAATCTCTAATGCGTTTGATGATCGATCTCTTATGTCATGCAGTCAAATTGTTTACTGACTTTGACATTTTCAATTCTCAATTATTTTTTTTTCTTGTCAAAGTCCTTTGTTTAGCAGTAAGTGCAAAGAAACAAACATTTTTAAGTAAGTAAAGGCGAACGAACAGATTTTTTGTACACCCATTAAAATCGACAATTATTCGCCTTTAGCAATATAAAAATCAAAAAACAAAAAGAAAATTTACAACTACAAGGATTCGGCAATTAATTTATTTAATTCTATGTCTGGAGATGCGAATGTCGCACAAAATTGTTGCAAAACCCAAACAATTTGTTGCTCACAATAAGAACAAAAAAAAATAACCAAATTAAAATCCACATTTAATCATAACAATAAAAAGAAGAAGAAGAAGAATGGACAAAGAGGAATCAGCAAACCAAGTAAGTAACATTAAGATGAAGAAGCAATAAACCTTTGACAAGCCTATCTCCCTAAGTCGTTCATACGTAATTTCTGATTAAACTAGTTTTTAGAAGATGTCCTCATAAGCTCTTAGTCTTGAATGCAATGACTGGCACAACTGGCGTGAAGAGAAGATATATTGAATATACGGTTCTATTCTAATCCCTTGACTGCTTTAGAATAATTACAAAATTGACCCACAATGACCCAAAATTCACCACAATTGACTTGACAATGCCAAAGTAGATATATCAATCTTAAAGAATTTAAAGAAGTCAATAAATCTTCTCTCTAGGAAAACATATTTTCATTAGTTTAAGTTATTACTCCCTATGCGAATTATTTCAAGAGAAATTGTCATGAGAGAACTTTAAATTACTGTAATAAATAACATATTTACATTAAGATTTAGATGGACTTCCGTTGTGACTTGTAGGACACCGACAATGATATCCTTACCAGACTTCGGTCATTCGACGTTGTTTGAACCTGAATTTATCATGATCATCAAAGCAAAAGATAGCGGTAGTGTTCTATTGATAAGCGATAATATTCTATAAGTAAAGGTAAGGATAAGTAATAGTGTTCTATTTAAAGTTTTCGAGAAATGACGCTTAGCCACTGATATGATAAGATATAATGTGATAAGCAACAATGTTCCATAAGTAAAGGTAAGGATAAGTAATAGTGTTCTATTTAAAGTTTTAGACAAGTGAAGGTTAGACATACGAATAAACGCTCCCAGCTATAAACTCTCACCTGATCTTGCGACACATTATGTAAGGAAGATTTTAAAAGCGATTGTTGGGCATTCGCTACCTATGCTTAATAGGGATTCCACCGTAACTTTTTTGGCGGAAGAGAAGGTGCAACTGGCAAGATCCGAGATTTTAATAAAATCTGAAATTTTCGTTTTTGTTATAATTTATGATAAAGACCCTCGCAAAGCGAATGAATACGTAATACATTAAATAAAGGCCCTCTCATTCATAGGTATTAAGCGACAAGTTAAGATGTATTTTCGGCTTTTTTTTTAAATTTTTCGAACTTTTCTTGATTATGGATATAAGAATTCATAATAGAATTTTATGAATTTGATTTTATGCTTTAAAACACATATCTAACACAAAGTCCTCCCTTGGTTTTTAGCTTGTTCATCGTGTAAGTATTATTGTTTTGGTCATCGTGTCTAGTTTTCTTCGCTTAGGTTTAGACGTTTTGGTTTTATATATGCGTCTCCCTCTAAAATATCTTATAAGTCCGAGTCCGTATAAAGTTTAATTGCAGCCCTTTCCCTTTAGTAATCTTTACAATATAAGCTTGTACTCACAGGGCCCTCAACCTTACGACTTAATTTGAACATAGCCTAGCAACGCTTTATTATCGAAATTCAATTGATAGTTTGGGTGTAATAGCCACAATAGGTTGAAGTGATTTTTAATTTTATTTGAATTAAATTTGCAAGCTTTTGAGGGGTCAATTTGGTGACCTTCTGATATTTTGTGCTGGTGATTTCTTAAAGTGGATGAGTGCTGGATCACGAATTTCCCTCTCCTGAGGATTTATAGGATCTAAGTTGAAGTTTATCATCAGCAAAGGCATGGTTAGGACGCTGCTTTGGAATAGATTCTATAAAGCTAGCTTAGGAAGGCTAATATTTCAAAAGTTAGACAAACAATCTCCAGCGCATATTGCAAATGATCGACCTACGAGGCAAGTTTCCAAAATCGCAAAAAGATCTGATTTTTTTGCAAAAGTCCTTCGTGCCTTAATTTATTGAATGCAACATTTCTTTGACTTGAGGCAGACAATGATGTTTTCAATGTACTTGCTTTAATTAAAAGACTTTTACAAAAACTTTCCATTATTTTTTATTACATTACAGCAATTCACTCAAACTGAAGACACCTTAAACAGGATGTGAAAACTAAATATATTCTATTATTCCTAAAAGTTAAGAAAAAAAAGAAGAAGAATATATTTAAGCTGTAACTGTGCCCTCTCTTAATTTATTATCTTTTTCGAACTTTAACCATTTTGTAGAATAAAGTTGTTAAACGTATTTGTCTAAAAAATTAAATTCGAAAGTTTTAATAAAATTCCTGGTATTTTATGGCAGCAAATGCTTGAAAGATTTTTTATTATCTTTTTGTTAATGTTCAGTGCATTGAAAACTTATTGTAACATTCACAAGTGTTCCGAGTAAAGATATATATAACGAATTGATTATCGGGTTCTTTCACGAACTCTATGCGGAAAAATTTGAATGCAAAATATATTTATTTTTTCTATAAAATATATAGACTTAGAATAAAAATCGCACCCTGCCCAGAAGTAGCTTTGTAATTAAATTTTTTTTTTTTTTTTTAATTTATATAAAAATTTCATTAAAGATGATATCGAATGACTTACCAATTTGTGGAACATCGTATTGTCTTTGACCACGCGCTGTGCGCAACATAAGCTGGCTAGCTAAACTATGAGTACCAGGCGGTTGGGGGGGCATAATTGCAGATCCCGCTGTTAAACCAGATCTCTTGTAATTAGGATGCGGTAAAATTTGTTCCTGGTGTGATCGCTGTTGTTGTTGCTGTTGCTGTTGCTGCTGCTGTATTAATTTGTTCTTATCCGCATTATTCGGGGAGGATGGCAACGGAGGAATAGATGTAGCCGCAGAGTCTTGAGATGCCTCCTTTACATTACTTTCAATGTAGCTCTTATCGTCGTCTTTCAGTGCTGAGGATTGTGCGTTATCGACTTTCTTTACATCATTGTCACTGGTAAATTTCATATTTAATTTGCTGGTGGTGGCGCTAAGGTCCGAGTTAGTCGAAGTCAATTTATTTATGGGCTGATTGTTACGAAATTGACGAAAACGTGTATGTAAACGATTATGGGCAAGTTGTGGCTCTTTCATGCGTCCGTGGGCCCCACCAAATATATAACGGGGTAATTGTTGGGCACGTTTCAGCTGCCATTTGTGCTGCAAACGCATATTATCGTGATATTTTGGATTTAAATGAGAGGGATTGTGTTGAGTCTCTTCTTGCTGCTGTTGTTCTTTTTCGAAGAATTCTTGTAGTACTTCTGGAGTCTGCTCACGGTTTTGATACGCATTCGGGGAACTATACGAGACAGAGGATGAATAATGAGTCACTGGTTTCTGTCTGAAGCCGGGAAATTGTGCGAAATGGTGGGGTTGCGCCTGCTGCTGGTGATGATGATGTAGTTTATCTTTATTATCTTCAGCCAAAAGTTCATCTAAATAAGCGTAATCGTATGAATCGGGTAAGACGTCGTCCACGTCGGGTACCGATTTCAATTCCATAAACTCATCTAAATTAAGATCATGTGGATTTTCGAATTCCCTTTCTTCCGGTTGCAGTACGCGGCCGTATTCATATTTTAAAGGATTTCGACCGAAAGTACCGCCACCACCGTCACCTTCAACATACTCTTCGAGGATATCGTCAGGATTATCGTTATATTGATGTTGTGGCGGATAGTGCACAACATTTCCAAACATTAGACTCCGAGATGATGGCATTAAGAAAGATGAGTAATCGCTGTCTTGCGCATCCTCCGCGGGATGCATTTTAACGCGTCCAGTGATAATAGAACGGCCTTGATGACCGGTATTTTCTGCGGTCTGTTTCGCCAAACCCATTAACATAAGCCGTTCACGTTCCAATTGAGCTAAATCGGCTAATTCTTCATTTAAGCGTTTGGTGTTACCATAAGGCGAAGAAGCGGCTATCGGTAACGATTCCGCTGCTGAATTGGAATTGGAAATGGGTTTTTTATTAGAGTTTGTTAAGGAGGAAGAAGGCGAGACGTGACTTTGCGATAAAATCAATGAACCGACGCCACCGCCACCGCCACCGCCACCCATATTACCACCTCCACCCAAGCCCTTGCTATTACTCGTGCCCGTTAAATGCATGGCGTATAGACCGCCATTCACTAGCAAGACGCAGATTAAAGTCTGTAGTAGTGAAAAGAACATTTTTGTTTTATTAACGCGTTGAAAATTATCCAGTAAATGTGGTATGTTTGCAGTTTTTACAAACTTTCAGTGAAACTGATCAAAATAGCAGAATTTCCCGCAAGTGCGTTGAATCTCTCTTTCTATATATATATATATATATATATATATATTTTTTTTTTTTTTTTTTTTTTGATTTTTTTATTTATTATTATTACTTGAAGTTTATCTAAGAACGGGCCAACTTGTTAAAAAGCATTATCAGACAATGGTTTACGATCCAATCTACGGAATGAATATGTCAGCAATTTTTTATCAAATTTTTTTTTTCTCTACTGACGCGAAGCTCGTTCCCGGTTTGCAGGATAATTTGAAAAGATGCCAAAAATGCTTGTAATGCAATCTTTTTATTTTTTTTTATTTTGTATTTTATTTTGTTATTTAATGCACTCTGGCTTGTTGCTTCCGTTCTATGTTACCTTACAATTTTTCTTTTACTTTTCCAGTTTGCTTATGAGTTTTTGTTGTTGTTGTTGTTTCATGCGTCCAACATAAGCTGAGGAATTACAACTTGACCGTTTCTGTTTTGTGGGGAGGGGGGGTAAATGTAAGCTAGAAGCTTAAGTTTACATAGTCTCTTCTCTGGCTCACACTCTATTTTATTTATTTATTTTTTATGTTTTTTTTTTTTATTTATTTATTTTTATTTTTTTATTTTTATTTTTTTTTGTTCTTTTCGTTTAGAGAGCACGGGGAGGATGAAGGAAGGGTCTTGATTACAAACCCTTACAGCTTTGTTTTGTATTCTTTTTTTTTATTTACTTTTTGCTTTTTAATGGTTATTTTCTTTCCTGGTTTATGTCTGGTCTTTGGCTGACGTATGGGCTGCTTGGCTGGTTGGCTGGCTGGCTGGCTGGCTGGCTGGCTGGCTGGCTGGGCTGTTTTTCTTTTTTCTCTATTTCTCTCTGTCTGTCTTATCTTTTGCACGATACGTGTTTTGTATAAAGTTGGACGACAAAATCGATAATCAATGTTTTAAATTAAGGTTTAAGCACAATGGTTAATATATAGTCGTTTGTGTTTTTATGGTATTCGTATTATGTTTTTCTTCAATATTCCTTCCTTTCTGCTGCTTGCCTTCCAGCTTAAAACTCAAGCACTCTTGAAGGTTTTGAACTCTTTTGTTACTTTTCACTTTGTTATTATTGTTATAATTCAGTTTTCTCGATATATTTTTTCTTCTCTGGTTCTTCTTGGTTTTTTTTTTTTGTTTTTTTTTTTGTTTTTGTGTTTTCTTCTTTTTTTTTTTTCTAAGTAAAGTTCAAATCACTTGAGTGAAAAAATTTCAACTTTAAAAATTTTCTCAAATGTTTTAAAAGCACTTTGTGAGTTTTAAATAATTTTTATGTTTATATTCAAAAATCATTTAAATTTTGGTTTTAACTATGTTTTTTTAGTTGATGCGTTTATAAGTCACAATAGATATTAATCATGTATGGATCAAGCGATATAATTAAGTCGTCTTGTCTGCGAAAATCAAAAATTAGTTGTTTTTTTTAGATATAAATTGTAACAAGTTGGGTTTAGTGACTATATAAAAGTTGAGTGAGAAAATACAGCTTAGTTATATTTTTGTTTATTATTTACTTTATATTTTTTTTCATTGAAAGGAACTTTTTTTAATTAAATAAAAATTTCAAGGAATTTCCAGCTAATATTTCAAAGAAATCTTCTTTTTTTTTTGTTTTGTTTTTTAAAAATAATTTCGGAATTCGTTTTTTTTTTCTTATTTTTTAACACACTTTCTTTCATTCACCAAAAATATCCTTGCTTGCTCATTGCTTGCAAATAAAATATCATTCTTGCTTAAGATTTTCTTTATATATATATATATACATACATATATATACATATATATATATATATATATGTTGAAATATTTTTTTCAATAAATTTCCCGGCAAAAATTATTTCTTTATTGATTAGCAATTACACTTTTTAACATAAATTTATATGGAAAACATTTCTTTTTTTTCGTTTTTTTTTTTATATTTTTTTTTTTAGCTGAATAATAATATTTTTTCTTTTTAAGAATTTTTTTTTTTGATAGTGCATTAAAAATTTCCTTCCTAACGTATGAACCGACGAGCAAAGACTCGTCCGTTTGAGCAGGTTTTGCCTGTTTGTCTACCGAAAATAATTTTCGCTTACGGTTAAGTGCTGCTACTAACAATTCTGCTGCTGCTGGTGCTGGTGCTGGTGCTGCTGCTAATGCTGCTACTACTGCTACAGTCATTTGCTGCTCGAGCTCTCTATAAAATAAACATCCTACCACTAGTCAACCATCCATCCAAGCTAGTTCGTTCATATAACGCACACGAAGTTAAGCGAAAGGAAAAACAAAGCACAATAGATGTCCGTTCGGGATTTAAACGTTCACCATACATCGGTATGAATGAAATTGATGACGAACATTTTTCTATCACTATATCTATAACGGAGCTCAACCACTTGTAAGTATATGTTACGACCGAAAGTATATGACACCACCGAAAGTATATGACACCGCCGAAAGTATATGACACCGCCGAAAGTATATGACACTTGTTTCATACCGCATACGTCACTTGTACAACTCACAAATATTTATGCTCGCTCGCTCTCTCTCTCTCTCTCTCTCTCTCTCTCTCTCTCTCGAAATTGCCTCTCCTTGTTTTGCTATCGGCACATATACATTCTCTCTCTCTCATATATATATTTATTCTTTTTACTTTTATCTCTCTCCAGTATATTCAACAAGCATATGTTAGGTGTTTTTACTTTTTTCACTTAATCCTTGCAACAATAATAAATAACAGCTCGCATGGACTATATATATACATATACATATATATACATATGTATATGTGTAGATTCTGCAGCCGGTAGTTGGTCCGTTTTGGCTTTAAGCAAGAGCAATGTTTATTTTTAGCTGCATAATATATAAAGTGCTTAAAAAAAAAAAAAAAAAAAACAAAATAAAAAACGTTACTCTCTACCTTTCTCTCTACGAAAGTTTTCTCAATCTCTCCGAATCTAGGGAGACTTTGCATTATTTCTTTCATTTTCATTTTTCCTCTCAATGTGTTCTCTGAGTGAGTATTCAAATTATTTCTGTAAAGCGAACCTATGAAAAAGCTGCTGTGATATTTTCCAAATATTGCATCTTTACATAAAAACGGAAAATTATTATTTTGATATATGGAATTTTTTGCTGTTGACAAGTTGTTTAGTTGGTTGCTCTTTTTGTGCGCATTATGTATGATAGATGATAGATTAAATAAAGCATGTAATTAGCTGTATGTCATACAATGAGAATATCATTATACTGATGTACTCATGTAAGTGCCCATGTGGAAAACTCAAAAAACAAGAAATAATTGTGATGAAATTAGTTTTTACAAATAATTCTCTGTTAATTGAAGAAGTTAACAATCGAAAAGGTTAGCAACACTTCCAAATTTCACCCAGTTTTAGCTAGAAAAACATCTAATATCTAATATTCACTTTGTCCAAATATATGCTTTACATTTATAATTCAAATTGATTTGACTACCAATCTCAGATTCTATTGCAGATGTTGAGAATACATGGCTCGGTTGTGAAAAATCTTCAAACGAACGACGAGGGAAAAACTTTTTTTGTTTGTTTTAATTCAATCGTAGTCATCGACGTAGTCTCTCCTCCAAGAATAATAAAGTTAGGGAGCTAAGAGAGCACCCAAAAATTTGGCGCGCTTTTTATTAAACAGCTAGAATACGATTCAATTTCCACAAGACGAAAAATGATCAACTTCGTTAAGAGTCTTACCAAACGAACATTTCCGATTTCTTAAGCGGTTTCACTTATTTGCAAATTATAAAGATTTCATTTAGTGTAAGGATGGGGGGAGGTCTTCGAGACTAGAATACGAACAGGTAAGTGTGTTGCATTCTAAGCTATGGATGTCACGACGTGAAGTAAATGATGAGAGATAAATTTTATCGCATTCACTTTTCCAAAAACCGAATTCCATCGACAGCAACAACTAACTTGACAACACATCAATAAAAACATTTCAATTTGAAGCCCAAACTGTATTGGTTAAGAAGAAGAAAGATTCCTATCATTATTGCTATTAACATTAGTTTAAACAGAGAAATAAATTCCAAGACTAGAGTCTTAAAGCATTAGCATCTAAGGCTATTTAGAACACTATCGTAGTTGAGATTTCAAGCGACGACCATTAAGATAACGATAATAGCAACACTAACGATAAGAATAATGTAATCCCATCATTCCACCATTAATTCAAATATTTCATTAGCTACAAAACTTATTACAAATCAATGCAAACACACATTTTATATAAGGAGACAAACCCAAACCACGAATGAATTTAATCATGAAAACAACTTCGATCATTTCGCGTCTCTTAAGCAATAACGCCAACCCTGTAAAGCTAAGTCTGTTTGCATACACTGGAAGAATTCTTGTGAGATCCCAAGCGAAGCCGCGTAAAGGAAAAAGAAGAAAATGCATGAAAAGTAGCATGAGCGCCCAAACAAAGGACGGATGAAGAAAATTTACTTATGTACCGAATAAATAACAAAAGATTCAAATGACCTCTCTGAGGAATAGCTACCATCACAGGAGTTTTTCACAAAATAGTTGAGCAAACTAACATTCCATTCATTAGACAAGTAAGGTAATTGGAAAATCTTAGCAACCAATCCATAGGGAAGCCAAGTCGGTCAACGTAGAGACACTAGAACTGGATTTCTGAGATAATTCTCCAAAAAGTTTGACTATTTTAAGACCATGTAGTGACAACCAGATCGTCCACTGCCTAACCAGGCCCGTTAGTATATGATCCCTAATATCTCAGTTCAGAGCGTCCAACTTGAATAGCCTTCGAATTATCCTTGTTAGCGAAACGCTTGGCGTGAGAGATGGCAAACCTCTCCTCCAAAGTCGCAATAGCTGGATTTGATTATTAGTAGAAGCACTCGCCTCAAATTTCTTTCAAGTCTCAAATTAAGAAAACTCAAATAACTTAGTGAACAACCAGTGAAAGTCTCGAGCTTAATAAATTTATCTGTCAATTTTCTCAGATCCTTCTCTAAT